TACTTATATATACATATGCATATATGTGTGTATATGCATCTTTATACATACATACGCTTTTTAAATACGTGCATATATAATATATACATATAATATATATATATATATGTAATATAAATTATATATATAGTATATACATATATGTACATATAAATGTATAGTGTATATATAAATGCATGTATTTATCTATATATGCATATATACGCATATAAATATATATATATATATTTATTTATAAATATATACACATATATATAAATATATAAATATATAAACATACATTTATCTACATTATTATACAAACACAGAAAAAGCCTCTAGGCTAACATACAGCGGTATATCGTCAGCAAACTCAAATAAAAAAGATATATAAAAACGTATTATATTTATGTTTATATTAATGTTTTAATTTATATCTACATTTATATTTATATTTATATTTATATTTTTATTTCATAGGGTGTAGATACAGCTAGACTGCAAGCCTCGGCCTCGGTGTCACGAGCGACGAGAGGGTTTAGGGTTTAGGGTTTAGGGTTTAGGGTTTTGTGTATTAAGTTTGATATTCCGATTTACTTGTTGTTGAGGCTGTAAAAAAGAAGAATAATAATCTTGAGAAAGATCAAAGGCTGCTGTTTGATGAAGAGAGCAGCCGAAGAAAGCAGCAAAAACAAAAACAAAGCTCTTCATTGTGTATGTACAGCTTAATATAACTAAGTTAAAAAAACAGTAGATAAGCAAATATATTAATAAAGAGTATAATTAAGAGACAAAAAGAAATGCTTCTGAAGAGAAAAGGATGCAGCAACAAGAAGGAGACAGCTAGATAGCAGCAGAAACAGCGAAGGAGACATTTAAGGTCTCCTTCAGGTGTCTCCTCAGCTGTTTTCGGGGTGTATACTCACCTATATTCTTCTTCTTTTTTCAGTGTGTTATTATAATTATTGTAATATTTATCTTTTAACTCTCATTTTTATTTATTTAATCGCAATAAACATCGCAGAAGAGACAGATAAACAAACAAACAAATAAACAAACACTGCTTCACGTGTTCAGAGCTAGCTAACCCTCCAGCTGTCTCCTCATCATCATCTTGAGCGAAGTAAATACATAAAAATGAATATTTTTCTGTTTTAATTTATTATTTTGTTTTATTTATTTTAAGTAAAACAAATAAAAACAAATAAACTAAAAAATTATGCAGCTGAAGACCGCCAGGGAGACCGATCGACAACGAAGAAATCTGCTGTCTCCTTTTGTCTCCTTTTTGTCTCCTTTTGTCTCCTTTTTATATCTTTTTGTCTTCTTCTTTGTCTCCTTTTGTCTCTTCTTTTATGTCTTTTTGTCTTCTTCTTTGTCTCCTCTTTTATGTCTTTTTGTCTCCTTCTCTGTCTCCTCCTGTCTCTTCTTTTATACCTCTTTGTCTTCTTCTTTGTCTCCTTCTGTCTCTTCTTTTATGTCTTTTTGTCTCCTTCTTTGTCTCATCTTTTTGTCTCCTTCTTTGTCTCCTTTTTGTCTCTTCTTTTATGTCTTTTTGTCTCCTTTTGTCTCCTTCTTTGTCTTCACTTCCGTCTCCTTTTGTCTCTTCTTTTGTTGCTCCTTTTGTCTCTTCTTTTGTCTCTTCTTTTGTCTCTTTAGTGTCTCCTTTCTGGTGTCTGTCTCCTTTGTGTCTCCTTTATGTCTCCTATTGTCTCCTTCTTTGTCTCCTTCTTTGTCTCCTTTTGTCTCTTCGTCTATATCTTTGTATCTCCTTTTGTCTCCTTTTGTCTCCCCGCCTTTTGCTGCTTCGTTCATCTTCCTATAGGGCATATATATATATATATATATATATATATATATGTGTGTATATATATATATATATAAACGCATTTTTCTCTAACAATTCAGACGGGTTTCTCACCAAGCGAACAAAGTCGAAAAAAATATGCGGTGCTTATCTGCCGAGACACCCGAGGAGATTGAGGTGTATAGGCAGCTGGATGCTAGGGCTACATATATGTCTCTAGCTAGCTGGAGGGAGCAGCAGCTAGCCGTAGCTAGCTACACTGAAAAGCAACAACTATCTTTGTACACAATGAGCGGCAAACAACCATCCACATCGCTAGCCCCCTAGCAAGCTAGACAGCTAGCTAGACAGCTAGCTAGCTAGATAGGTAGCGAGCTAGACAGCTAGCTAGAGAGCTATCTAGATAGCTAGCTAGCTAGATAGGTAGCTAGGCAGACAGAAGGCTACATGACATCTGGTTAGATAGCTTACCAGCCAGCTATCTAAACAACTAGCTAGATACACAGATAGCTAGATAGCTAGCTAAACAACTAGCTATCTAAACAACTAGTTAGCTAGCTCTCTAGCTAGCTAGACAGCTAGCTAGCTCGACTGGCGTGTTGGTGTCTCCACAAAAAAATTGTATGAGGGCGTCTCCCCCACCAGACGGTTTTTCCTAGCTAGCTAGCTAGCTAGCTAGCTAGGTGGATAAAACAGGAAGATGCCTAGCCAGCTAGCTAGCTAGATAGCTAGCTAGCCAGCTAGGACGTCTGGAAGCTAGCTAGTTAGGTAGGTAGCTAGCTACCTAGCTAGCTACCTACCGAATGTCTGGTAGCCGGCTAGTTAGTTAGCTAGCTAGCTAGCTAGCTAGCTAGCTAGCTAGCTAGCCAGTGAGTTGCATGCTGGCTAGCTGTGCGACCTGTCTCTTGTATTCTTCTAGCGAAATGCAGAGACAGTGAGGAGGCAGATTAACTGCTGTAGGCTTCGGCAGCAGCAGCGGAGCAAAGGAGACACCTGGTGAAGGAGATAGCGGCTTCACCCGCTCTGCTATCGAAGCCCCAGAAGAACGAAGCTGCGAGGAGACAATTCAATACATAGCCCATCTATCATATATTTAAATAATGCATATTTATATAAATATAAATATATATAATATAGATATATATAATATAAATATATATATATATACATATGTATAACAAGGAGACAGAACGGAGACAAAAAAAAAAGAAATTAGGAGGAGACAAAAGGAGACAGAAAAGAAATAAAAAATAAATTAAAAGGCGACAAAAAAGAAATTGAAAGGGAGACAGAAAGGAGACAAAAGGAGACAGAAAAGAAATAAAAAGGAGACAGAAAAGAAATAAAAAGGAGACAGAAAAGAAATTAAAAGGAGACAGAAAAGAAATTAAATGGAGACAGAAAAGAAATAAAAAAGATATTAAAAGGAGACAGGAAGGAGACAGAAAAGAAATAAAAAGGAGACAGAAAAGAAGTTAAAAGGAGACAGAAAAGAAGTTAAAAGGAGACAGAAAAGAGACATACCGAGACATAAGCAGCAACAAGCTGCTGCTGCTGCTGCTGCGTCTCCCCGATAGACAGCGACAAACCGCTGAAAGACGAGGAGACACCACAAACCCCTGCAAATATCAAAAGGAGACACAAATATATAAACACAACAGAATTAAAACAACAATAGGAGCTGCTGCTGCCGCTGCGGCTGCTGCTGCTGCTGCTGTGCTAAACAACAGGAGCAGCAAGAAAAGTAGCAACAGAAGCAGCAGCAGCAGGAAGATAAGCAGCAGCAGCATTTATTTATTTGAAGAATAATAATAAAGAGCAGCAGCAAAAATACGACGAGGCTAAGAGTTGCTGCGTCTGTACCTGTAGGTGCAACAGCATTAGCCCCGTGTCTTAGCTGCTGCTGCTGCTGCTGCTGCTGTGCAGCAGCAGCAGCAAGAACTCGAGTAGCTTTTTTGCTGTTTTCTCTGTCTGTATGAGCATGAGGAGACAGGAAAGGAGCAGCATTTGAGCTGGATTTGATAAGCTCTGCTTCTGCTTTATCTTTTTTGTTTTGTAATTCTAAGAGAGTCTCCTTCAATTCTTGTCTCTTGCTGCTGCTTGTTCGAGAGCTGGACAGACACTCCATCACAGAAGCAATCTGATGCTTCAGAGACACCAGCTCTTTTAATAGACCTCCTCGCGCACGCTGCAGCAAACCCCCTGTCTCCTCTCGTCCTCTTAAGATTTCTTGTACGTCTTCATCAGTGTATGTAAACTATATACACATACATAATTAAATAATTAAATACATATATATTTATTTACTCGTTTGTTTGTTTATTTATTTTATTTATTTATTTATATTGTGAAAAATAAATAAATATACAACAAAAAAGAATAAACAACGGCTAAAAACACAAATACAACAATTTATATTACATGCAAATAAACAAATTATATAAAATAAATAACAAATAAAACAAAAAAAACAAATTATAAACAAATAAACGAACAGTATGCAAATAGGGTTTAGGGTTTGATGGTACCTTTTCGAGTTGTTGAATTTTGAGTTTTTTTAGGGTTTAGGGTTTAGGGTTTAGGGTTTAGGGTTTAGGGTTTAGGGTTTAGGGTTACCTTTTCGAGTTGTTGAATTTTGAGTTTCATTTGTTTGGCGATGTCTTCGGCAGTTTCGAACTGCTGCAGTTTTTTAACCCAGCATTGAAATTCTTTGAGTGTTACAGGGCAGTCTACAAGCTCGTTTAACTTAAATTCTCTATCATATTTGGCGCTAGCTCGAGGTGTGGGGCGAAGGACTAGGGTGTATGTACACCTCAGTCCGCCACTATTGCTGCTGCTGCTGCTGTTGTTGCTGCTGCTGTTGCTGCTGCTGTTGCTGCTGATATTGCTATTGCTGTTTTGCTGCTGCATGCAGTAATACGGTTCGCATGCACGAAGTCCAACAATAAGACATACAAGAGGATCTGAGTAAGTCGCTGGAGGTAATGATGAAGAGACAGAAGAAGAGACAGGTTGAGGAGGAGACACTTTAACAATACACCCGGAAAGAAAGGAGACAGCTGAAGGATGACCGAGTATATGATGTATTCGAACAACAGACAACCAAACCCTATTCACAAGCTGCAGAGACAGTCTGCTTAATAAACGCGTTGATAAACAACTCCGCTGTCTCTCTCCTAACTCGTTTCTGTCTTCAGCAAACAAACTGCCCTCCCCCTCCTCAGCTCGCGCCTACCACCACAAACCACAAACCCTAAACCCTAAACCCTAAACCCTAAACCCTAAACCATAAAACCTAAACACTAAGCCTTAAACCTTAAACCCTAAACCCTAAACCCTAGAGAAAGCAAAAATGTAAACAATAGAAAACCCTTAACCCTAAAAGACACCGCAATGTAAACCCTAGAGACCATCAAACCTCTAAACCCTAAACCCTAAACCCTAAACCCTAAACCCTAGAGAACGCCAAACCGTAAACCTTCGCGAGCCTCCAAGGGTAAACTGAAAGCCCACTACAAAACCCCAACCCCCAACCCCTAAACCCTAAACCCTAAACCCTAAACCCTAGCTTACAGCAGGTCTCTTTCTAGAGGCAGTTTGTTTCGCAGTATCTGTTTGCTCTTCATTAACTCTGCTTGAGGCTGGGATCGTCTCCTCCCCGTCGATCCCCTCGTCTCCGCTTATCTCCATCTCGCTGCCACCCCCTACGACTATTTCTCCTTCTTCGCTTGAACCCTCAGCTGCACAAACCACAAACCCTTTTAAAACCCTTTCTAATGCATCTTGTAAACCCTAATAAACCCTTTATACACTCTCGTAAACCCCCATAAACCCTAGTAAACCCTTATAAACCCTTATAAACCCTTTTAAACCCTTGTAAACCCTTGTAAACCCTTTTAAACCCTTATAAGCCCTATTAAACCCTAATAAACCCTAATAAACCCTCTAAACTCTTCTATTGACTTGGTAAACCCTCATAAACCCTTTTAAACCCTGTTAAACCCTTGTAATGCCTTTCAAACGCTTGTAAACCCTTTTAAACATCTTTTATAAACCCTAAACCCTCACAGTTCCTAAGCTCCTGTCAACCCTAAACCCTAAAACCCTAAACCTTTAAACCCTAACCGTAAACTCTTGATCATGAAGGACTGAAGGAACGTCATCGCTGCTGTCTCGCAATGTGCAAGTGTGGCGTGTGAGGGTTTAGGGTTTAGGGTTTAGGGTTTAGGGTTTGAAGGGTTTTAGGTGTACATACAGCTGGAGTCAGAGGCTTTTGTTTGCAGTTGTTTCATTCGAGCGCGTCTCGCACGAATATCTGATAAAGCCTCCAGCCGCCCTGATCCGCAAACCCTAAACCCTAAACCCTAAACCCTAAACCCTTGGTTTGAGTGCCTAGACAGAGTGCAGCAAACAGAGACAAGAAGAAGAAGACAAAGAAGAAGAGAGAAAGACAAAAGGAGACAAATAAATAAAAATCAGCAAAAGGAGACAGAGAAAGACAAAGAGAGACAGACAGAGACAAACAAAGACAGAAGAATAAGATAAGCAAAACAAATATAAGAAGAGACAAAAGGAGACAGAAGGAGGAGACAGAAGAAGAAGATAAGAGAGGAGACAAAAGAAAAAGACAAAAGGAGACAGGAGACAAAAGAAGAGACACAAGAAGAGACAACAGAGACAAAAGAGACAAAGAGAGGCAGAGAAAAGACAAGAATAAAACAAAAGGAGACAAAAGGAGACAAATAATAAAACAAAGAAGGAGACAAAGAAGGAGACAAAAGGAGACAGACAAAGACAAAAGGAGACAGACAAAGACAAAGAAGAAGACAAAGAACAAGACAAAGAAGTAGACAAAGAAGAGGACAAAGACGAAGACAAAGAGTAAGACAAAAGGAGACAAAAGGAGAAGACAAAAGGAGAAGACAAAAGGAGAAGACAAAAGGAGAAGACAAAAGGAGACAAAAGAAGAAGACAAAAGGAGACAAATGAAGAAGACAAAAGGAGACAAATGAACAAGACAAAAGGAGACAAAAGAAGAAGACAAAAGGAGACAGTCGTTGGACATGCACCATCTTTTGCTGTGTGCTGTTGCAGCAATTCTTCTCGCTGTCTCCTCCTAGCTACTTCTTCATATCTCCTCGCTAACTCTGCTTCTCGTTGAAACTCGTTAAGACTTTCAAGCGCCTACAAAACAAATAAACAAATAATAACAAAGGAGACACATGCACTAGTACTCGCCCCCAATCTGTTGCTGCTGCTGCTGCTGCTGCTACTGCTGCTGCTGTTGCTGCTGGTGCTGCTGCTGGTGATGCTGCTGCTGCTGCTGCTGATGCTTATTATGAAGCAGCAGAAGAAAACTAAAAAACAGACGAAGCAAATACACAAAACAAACTACAAAAAGAAACAGAGACAACGTCATGAATAATAAAACAGACAAAAGACCCTACGACAGCAGCAGCAGCAGCAACAACAGCAGCAACAGCAACACCAGCAACAGCAACAGCAGCAGCAACAACAGCAACAGCACCAGTGGCGGCAGAAACAGCAACGCAAACAAGAGCAGCACTAACAACAGGAGCAGCAGCAGCACCAAGAGCAGCAGCAGCAGCACCAAGAGCAGCAGTAGCACAAGCAGCATCAGCAGCAGCAGCAGCCCGCAGCAGCAGCAACGCGCAACATCAGCAGCAGCAGCAGCAGCAGCAGCCCATCAGTTCTTTATCCTTCCCTCTTAATAAATACTTCATGAAATAAACGTTGCATGCATTTAACTGAAGATGCTTGTGATTTCTTCAGAAGAGTAAATAGAATTAGGGTTTTAGTCGTACCTTCTTGTCGCTCGCATCCCTATACAAAGACTCCGCATCAAATGCAGCAAAAGAACCTCCGCCAGAGCTCTCTGTGCGTCTCTTTGCTCTCTTCATTGTGTAGAGAGATAAGTTAAAGAGTAAATAAAAGAGAGAGAATATATAAATGCAGCACAAGTGCTGAGCAACCTTCTACCCTCTCCTCCTCTCCAAGCCAACAGATATAAAAGCAGTCTTAATGGGCGTTGATGTGGAGATAATGAAGAAGAAAACAAAAAAAAAAGAAAAGAAAATACAGCTGAGTTGTACGTACACCGCGCGACTGCTTGACTTGTAAGGGATACACGAAAACGGATCTTAGAGAGTTCTTATGTATACCAAACAATTTAGAAGAAATTAATTAAGAAATTAAAAGAAAATATACATTTTTTAACTCACAAAAGCCCCAGTCATATTATGCATGCATGCGCTTTAGCTTTCTGCATGCAGTTGCGGTGTACGTACACCTCAGTTATTGATTTGCATCCAGGTAGTCTAAGCTTTGAATAGAGGAAAGATGAATTAAATAAAGGAAAAGCTTTTAAAAGTATTTATTTTATTTAATTTAAAATAAAAACTCAAAAGAAAAACAAACAAACAACAAAAAAAATAAAACAAAATTCAGCGGAATTTCGATTTCTGCTGTACGTACACCGCATCTCATATTCATATTGTTTCTTATTGCAGCTAATTTAAAAGCAAATAAAACCATTTTTGTTTCAATATATTTATTTTTTAATCTTTTGTTTCTTTTTCTTCGATTTACAGCAAATTTTCCTCAACCCCCCGCTGCAGCAGCGAGCACTGCGCGGTTTGCTGCGGCTGCAGTAAGCGCAGGTCTGTACTTTTCGAGTTGAGTTGAGATATTTCTTTTGAATATATTAAATTTAAAAACATTATAAAGCTTTAAAACAACACAAATAATATCCCAGGGCTTCGTGGGGCTGTCTCAAGGCTGCTGCAGCAGCAGCAGCAGCCGCAGCCGTGCCAGCAGCAGCAGCAGCAGCAGCTGCTGCTGCTGCTGCTGTTACTGCTGCTGCTGGGGGTGTTTGCATGTGCTGCATTTGCGGTTGTTCGTCGGGTTTTCTTTTGTTTGTTGCTTTATTTTGTGCTTTGTTTGCGAAGGAGAGACTGCGCGAAAATGAACGACACAAAGCCCCGACTGAGCTCCATGGAGGAGACAATTGCGAAGATGCTGATATGCAAGGTGCGGCTGAGATTGTTTTAATTGTTGTTTTCTTCTTTTCAGGTGTATATGCAGCTTGCCTTCTTGTTTTGTCTCTTTTAAAACACTGAAAAACATCCTCTTTCATCCTACACGCTTTACAGTTTAGGGTTTAGGGTTTAGGGTTTACAGCCCGCATGCATCGTCTTGTGGGGAGTTGCTGCTGCTGCTGCTACAGCAGCAGCAGCAGCAGCAACAGCAACCGTTTGCTTCCCTACAACTATTATTAGATTCTGTTAGAGCGAGTGTGAAGAGAAATGTATAGGGACAGCAGCAGCAGCAGCAGCAGCAGTAGCTCCTGCTGCTGCTGCTGCTATGTATGCTGCTATGTATCTCTCTTCACGCTGTTTGCTTTTTTTATTGTCGTTAGCGCCCCTTTATAATATTTATATTTATAATTATATTTATATTTACATTTATTGATTGTCTTCTGTGTATTATACAACCCCTTGATGCCTAGACCTGCTCTCTTGCTGCTGCTGCTGCTGCTGCTGCTGCTGTAACAACAGCAGCAGCAGCAGCAACAACAGCAGCAGCAGGAACAACAGCCGCACCATTCTTCTCAACACAATGAACAGCAGCAGGAGCACCACTACCACCACCATCAGCAGCAGCAGCAGCAGCAGCAGCAGCAGCAGCAGGAGCAACACAACAACAACAACCAATAGCAGCAGCAGCAGCAGCAGGAGCAGCAAATATATAATTAATAAATATGTGATATTTTGGGGTGTCTATGCAGGTGCATATCGGTACGAAGAATGTTGAGCACAAGATGCGGCCGTACACATACAAAGTGACATCTGAAGGGATTCATTTGATAAACTTGAAGAAGACATACGAGAAGTTATTATTAGCAGCAAGAGTAATAGTCGCTATTGAGAACCCGGCAGATGTTTTAGTTGTATCTGCTAGACCGTACGGTGCGAGAGCGTCTCTAAAGTTTGCGCATTATACAGGGGCACAGGCTGTAGCTTCTCGCTGGGTTGCGGGCATGCTTACTAATCAAATAACACCTAAGTACAGAGAACCGCGACTTATTATTGTTACAGATCCTAGAACAGATGCGAGAGCTGTTAAAGAAAGCTCCTATGCTAACGTGCCGGTCATTGCTCTATGCGACTCTGATTCGCCTCTTGAATACGTCGATATTGCTATACCCTGTAATAATAAAGTCAGTTTACTTAACCCCTTCTCAAACCCTAAACCCTAATTATAAACCCTCTTCACAAACCCTAATTATAAATGCTTTTATTGCTTCGAGTTCTTTCTTCTTTTTCTTTTGTTGTCATAAACTTATGCCTTCTGCTTTTATTTAAACCCTAAACCCTAATTGTAAACCCTAATTACAAACCCTAATAGTAATACGTTCTTCTATTGTATGCTGTGCAGTCTTATACCCTAAACCCTAAAACCCTAAACCCTAAACCCTTCTTGAATAAGCATCAGGAGGTTTCTGTCTATTCCTTGAACTGCTTTGCTAAACCCTAAACCCTCATTTAAACCCTAAACCCTAATTTAAACCCGTATAATTAAAACCCTTGTTTCAAACCCTAATTTGTAGAGTCATCATTTGTTGTTTGTTTTTATTTGTTTTTATTTTTATTTTTTAGTTTTTTCGTGCTGTGTTTGCTATACCTTTAAAGTTTTATATATTTATTTACTGATGGATTATTTATTGTTACAAATAATGCTTCATTTATAAGTAGACAAATATATTTATTTATTTATTTATTTATTTATTTATTTATTCTATTTATTATTTATTTATATTAGCATTGATGCACTGACTGTTATCTCACGAAGTATTATATTAATATATTAATATATATATATATATATTATATTATATATCAAATAAAAGCTCTATTAACTCTGAATTTGGAAATATAATTAATAAACATCTATATAATAGATATATATATATATATATATTTATGCATGTCTGTATATACAGGGTATGGAGTCAATAGCATTGATGTACTGGTTGTTAGCTCGGGAAGTATTATATTTGCGAGGCGAGTTGAGCAGAGGACAGCCCTGGGACGTAATGGTCGATCTCTTCTTGTGGAGAGACCCCGAAGAAATAGAAAAAAGAGAAAAAATCGAAGACAGAGATGCAGCGCCTCACCAGCAGCAGGTAATTTATATCATATATAATGTATATATTATAATATATATAGTATATTATATATATTATATTATATAGATTATAAATATATATATTATATAGATTATATTGATTATATATTTTATATAATATATATTATATATGTATTTTTATAGTCTAATATAATATATATATATATATAGATATGTATAGATATGTGTTTATGAATGAATGTATGTATATGTAGAAATAGAAATATAAAGCTGTAAATGCATATATATACATATATATATATATATTTATTTATTTATCTATTATAATGTTTATCTATCTATGTTTATATTTATATAATAATAATAATAATAACAAACAGAAGCATAAAAGGTTCAAAAGTAATATATCTTCGTTCTTCTCTCGTTTTGTCGCTGTCTTTTGTATTTACTTTTATTTGCCGCGCTCTCTGTCTCCTTTTTCTTCTTTGTTTCTGTTTGTTATATATATATATATATATATTTATTTATTTATTTATATGCATGCATATTGATATATTTGTTTATTTGAAGGAGACAGTATATCGTATGCACCTTTAAACTATATAAAAAGTATATATAACTATATATAAATATATATATATTTGTTTGTTTTGTTTATTTGTTTATTAGGAGACATCACAGTGGGGTGCAGCAGCAGGAGACTGGGGGGTTAAGGGGACAGCAGAATGGATAGCACCTCCTGCTGCAGGCGACTGGAATGATGCTGCTGCTGCTGCAGCAGATTGGGGTGCAGCACAGCCAGCAGCAGCAGGAGCAGCAGCAGCAGCAGCAGCTACCAAGTGGTAGACGTATCCTCTCGCTGCTCTACACGCATTCACAATGCCTCTTCTTGTCGCCCAAGCTGCAGCTGCTGCTGCAGCAACAGCAGCAGCAGCAGCAGCAGCAGCAGTAGCAACAGCTGGGGGATTGTGCATTTACTTACTTTAAGAAATGTCTTCTTCGCTTTGTTGTTTGCTACTGACAAGCGAAAGGGCTTGGGGTTTGCTAGGGTCTAGGGTTTAGTTTCTAGGGTTTAGGGTTTATTCTATTGAGGCCAAGGGTTTAGGGTTTAGACCTGCTGCTACGGTTTCACTTTGCTAGAGTTTAGGGTTTTAGGGTTTAGGGTTTAGGGTTCCCCCTGACGCGTTGCGGTGTAGGTACACCATAGGTTATAAAAGCAAAGAGATATTTAAAAAATAGTTTTCGTCTATAAAATTTAGAGTTTCAACATTGTCCTAGGGTTTAGGGTTTAGGGTTTTGCTGGCGGTTTAGGGCTTTGTTTGCTGTTAGGGTTTAGGGTTTTGTTTTTATTCTTGTTTTTATAGCGGTGCATGCTTCTTCTTCTTTTCTTTTGTTCGATTTTTTCACCTTCTCGCCGCGCATTCATTAAAACATTTAAGAAGCGTACAGCTGCACATACACCCCACGCAAACCCTAAACCCTCAATTAGG